AAGGTGGAAAACATTCAGAGTTAATTATAGGTTCCAGCTTATTATGATTTCATTGATCAGAGGACTCCTTGGGATTCCACTTAAGGGATTTTTATTATTGGAAGTAGTAAAAGGTATTTAACATCTTCTTTACTCCTATATAATCTCCCATAATTTAGATCTTGAAAACATTATGATATGAAAACATCCACATTGTGTGCTCTGAGGTGAAGCCAAAACAACAGATTTTCTGCTATTTGATGAAACTAGTATTACTGTAGGGTTTATTGATATGTAAGTTTCTGTGATAAAAGCAATACAAAGGTCATTGTAGTGAGCCCACAGCTTAGTAGAAGTTCTGAATTCATGTACAAATTGAGGCATATTAAAGTAGAAAGTATTAGAATTGCTCCAATTTGTTTAGCTGGATATATGAGCCTATGTACTTTTTCAGAAAGTGATTTTTAGTTACTTGTCTGTCATTTCAGCAGATTTCTTTCACCACTGTAAAGTATTATATGTGATTATTAGGATACATACTTTTAAAATGAACTGTTAGCAGATTTATCTATTAAATATTTTTGGTGAGGTTAATAATAATATACAGGCCAGTATAATTGCATCTATTGTTAAAGTAGTCTAAAATATTTTAAAAACAGAGCAAGGATGAATAGGTGAATCCTATAAAACACTATAATTCTAGAAATTTTATTTAGGGATTTGCTTAGACAAATCTTTTTATATATGTTATCATATACCTGTGAGTACATAATAAATACTATTTGATGTTAGTATTGAGATTCATATCTGCTCTTCTTTATTATATTTGTCAGACTTTAAAATTACTTAAGACGCGTAAAAATGAAGCTACTCAGTTATTTTTGACAATATCTGAAGTTAAATAGAACCTCACATTTAAGCTATTAGGCTGAAATGATAGAGTTTTATTACTTTGATGCCCAAACATCAGTAGATGCAGTCCTATGGACTTCCTACCATAATTCTTTGTTGGGATTTGCTGAAGACTATTTGTACCTGAAGGCAACACATACTTGGGTGTTAACCTCTAGTCTGCATTTAAAAGGAATTTTTGATCTTTATAAAAATCAATTAACTGAGAACAAAGCAATGTTAAATTTATGTGTGGATTCATATCCTACCCTATTACTGCTTTTTAAAACTTACTGAAAACTGAAACATACACAAAAATAGAGGAAATTATATGAAGAGAGTTATATGAAGCTGGATAAATTGCATATCACCTGTGAGTTATCAACTCATAGCCAACTTGGTTTTCTCTATATGCCTCCCCCTACTCCTGGATTATTTTGAAACAAATCCAAAACATGATTTCATTTCATCCATAAGTATTTCATTATGTATCTCTGAAAGATAAGGATCTTTAAAAACATAACTCAAATATCATTCATAGCTTCAAATAGCTAGTCAGTGTTCAGATTTTCCTATTTCTCTCAAAATTCTTTTCACAGTGTATTTGTTGAAACAGGATCCAAATAATAACAACTGTATATTACAATTGGTTGATATATTTCAAATGTCTTTTGATATATAGTTCTCCATTCTTCTCATTTTCTCCCTTTCAAAATATTTATTGAAGAAATTGAGTTGTCTTTGTAGTGCTTCTCACAGTCTGGATTTTGCCAACTGCATCCCCATGTTTAGTGTGTTTTCCTTTTACTTGTATTTTCTATAAACTGGTAGTTAGATTTAAAGCCTTGATCAGATTTAAGTTTTTCTTTTTGGTAAGAGTACCTAATAGGTGTATTTCAGCTAAGAGGCATATACCTGGTTGTCTCTTTTTTCATGAAATTAGCAGCCATTTGGTGATCATTGCCTAGATTTATCATCTCATTATGGGTTGCAAATCATGATATTCTAATTCTAAACTTCCTTATTCATTTGTTAATGGAATATTTCTATAAAGCCATATTTCTCCATAACAATTACTTGGTAATTCTGAAGGACAGTTCTTACAAGGATAGGCAAGATAAAGTCTAGGTTCTTTTCCTTTATTTAGCAGTTTTTAAAATAATGAATTGAAAAATGTAGCATCTTCCAAATGTTTTATAAGCACATGGATTTATATATATTTGAAGTATTAAGTTTTTTTTTAATCGATGTTCATATTGTCCTATCTTTTGTAGGAACTTCCTCAAGTTCTTTTGATTCTGTGAGTAGTCATTAATGGTTTTTTTCATGTTATGACAGGATATTCATATTATACATTTTCTGCTCCATATTTGTAAACTGCAATTTCTCTAAGGAGCCCTAGTTTCTTTTAGTAGGAAATGGTATTTAGAAATTACAATCTAGGTATCAGAGGTGTTCCTTGCTACTGGATTGGTCATGATCTCTAGGCCTTTTTAGTGGGCAGAGCTAGAAAATAATTTTCCCTCTTTTTCTTAAGGTATATCCCTTGTGGTATGAATGGATAAATTACTGTGTTTTAAAGTCACTTGAAATAATTCCTCTTTGTGTAGATTTGCCTGTACTTTGATACATAGTTAAGTTCATTTGCTTTTGATATTCAAGGATTGCTGTTTTTAAATGTAATATTGTTTTACAACTATGTTAAGTAGTTACATAGTTCCAAAGTCAAATCTATAAAACAAAAAATATTCAGAGAAATTTAACTTCTATCTTGGTTCTCTTCCTCTGTACCTACTCCTACAAGTCATTTTAAAAAGTTTTAGTTTATGTTTATTTATCCGTCTCTCTGTCCCTCATCTTAGATAAGCATTAGCATACTGTACATACTTTTCTCCACCGTGGGGTTTTTATCTTACAGTATATACCCTGTAGATCATGCTACAGTATGCATTCTCAATGGGGGATATCACCCAAAGGGGGGAAATGTTTGTTCTTGAAGGGTGAAAAAAACTCTTGGATTTTACAATGGTTTGTGGCCCTCCAAAGACCACAGTACATAAACGGATTTACAGTATATCTGTGATATTAAAACTTCATGGAGAGTGATTAGGAATAAAAATGTCTGAAAAGACTTTTTAGGGGGGCAGTAGTTGAGAAACTGCTCTGTAGCAGTATACAGTATATTAATTGGTATTCCTCGATTCTTTTAAAAGTGTATAGGGTCTATTATGATATATTTAACTAGCCTTCTGTTGGTTAGCATTTGGGTTGTTTCCATTCCTTTGCAATTACCAACAGTGCTGCAGTGAATGTATGTTCTTTTGTCATTTACCAGTGTATCTTTGAGATGGATTCTGAGAAGTCAGATTCCTAGGTCAAAGGCTAATTGCCTATGTAATTTTGCAAGACACTGCCAAATTCCTTTTATGGCAGTGTTTTAGTTTGTAAGAGTGGCTATGTTATAAATTAGTTTATTGTGAGATGTTGTCACCATTTATGAGAACCTTATCAGACTTCTAATTAGCTGTGAGAAATATAATTTTCATATTGCAAAAAGCAAATTTATGTTATTTCACTTATCAGATTTTTTCTAAAAGTATCACTGCACTACTTACCATATTGTTGTTGTTCATAAAAGAAGAACAACGGATCTGCCTAAAAGGTCACATGCTTTAATTTTTTTTAATGTGCTATATCTGGTCATAGTAAAGACAGTTGCTAACATTAAGGGCTTGTTTTTCAAGTAAATGTAGCATAAACTTTTAAAATGTTTTTATAATTAATTATAAATGTTTACATTTAAGATAAATTTCACTTAATTTTTGAAATGCCTTGGACCAACTAGATTACCTAGGTTTCTTCAACCCATTGTTTTTATGAAACTATTAGATTGTTTGGCAAAAATCCCTTTGGATATGACGGTATTCATCCTTAGTGCCCTTCAGAGCAGGGATTAACTACCTGGAACCACTCTTGTCACTTGGACAGTACTTACTTTTTCTAGGGAAAAGGTTCCAAATCTCTTTAGTAATACATGCCCTCACCACCCCCACAACTCTGCCAAAATTAGAGTCCTGCTCACTTTAACCCTAGCCAGGATCTGCAGGTACTGAAGAGGTGGACTAAAAAGGAACATCATACTTCATGAGAAGAAGCTCCATGGATAGATTATAGCTCAGTGACTTTAGATCTTCACTCATGTGTTCTAATGACTTTAATGGCCTGAGGGATATTGCACAGTAACTCAAACTGATTCTGACAGAGGTTGAGCTGAGTCAGTCTCGCCTATAGTCCTTCAAATATTTATAGGTACCCAGAACAGGGCCTGGTGCATAGTAAGCGCTTGTATTTATTGCATACGTGAATGGCTGGGGAGCTACTGACAGTTATATTCAGTAAGTGGTTAATGAGGAAAGGACTTAGAATATCTGAATATTTTGTCTGTGAAAAGCAGACTAAAAAGCAGTCATGAAGTTTTCTAGAACCAAGTTTCCTATAGTATATTTAACTGTTTGGAGGTTAAGATATACAGAGAAAAATAGAATTTGGGAGATGATGTGAAACTGTCGCAGTTATTTTTGTTAAGTTAAAAGACTGTATTTTACTAAAACATCACCTTGTTGCACAAGTACTGTCAGCTAGAAAAGTTTTGCTGGCGGGTTCCCTTGATCGTGGAGTAAATCTGGGTTTTTTATAAATGAGGTAACATTTCCCTCTTCCTTTGTAGGCATTTGGGATCACAGCTTTGTGAATTAGAAAAACTGATAGATAAAATGATGATTGCAGAATTTTCTACTTATTCTCACAGTGACTTAAATAGACCATTGGAAGATGACTGTCAAATTTTAGAAGAGGTATGTCTTTTGAACTGTAGAATGAAATTGATGTCATTGCTTAGTGTTATTTCCTAACAGCCTTAGTTTAGAACACATTCTCCTCAGGTTATAGTGAGCAAAATTATCTTCAATATCAAGCCTGTGAGACCTATGAAATCTTTCACTAAGTATGTGACTTTAGGAAGCACACAATTGTTTATTATCCTGTGAAATTAGAGAATAAATAATTTTATAGCTTAATTAGAAATGGGAGTTAAAATGAAGTCTTTATATGGCTTACTACCCAAGTTCCAAATATAGATATAGGATGTAGATATAGGATGAATTAACTTATATCCATGTATATGCATGTATTGGAGTGTGTCTTTTATAAAAAGTGATCATTATTATATGGTAACTTATCAGTCATTCACATTCACTGAGCACCTATTATGAACATGTTTTATGCATATGCATGTACAAATATATCATATTTGGTAACTTATCTAGTAACTTCTCAATGCTGATTATTGCCAAGAACTTGTAAAGAATCCAAAAAGCCCTGATAGCAGCCTAAGTAGTTAAAGAGATTTTTGTAAATGTTAGCAGTTAATGCTCCACAAATAATCCAGGTCATCATTCCAGTCTTCTAGACCACTAATTAGAAAGCACCGGGCTCATAGAGTATTTATTGGTCATCAGGGTTTCAGAAGAATACTTTCTAGCTACTTACTGAAACTAGACCAAAATATACTCATATTGTTTTGTCCCCAAACCAGCTTCATTTGATCCACTATAGTAGGATAGGATTTACCTGTTTTAGAATAATGACTCCAAAAATCTGATGACAAGATGCTATGGAAAGGGGTTTTTAAGGCTTTTAGAAAATACCAAAAGGAGGATAGAGATTTGAGGGTCAAACAATAAAACCCTTGACGTTGATTATTCCTACCTCTAAGTGAGATTATTTTGTATTTGAATTTTGACATTGTATACCCTTCTTTTATTTTAACAGGAAAGACTAGTATCTCTTGTATTTGGACTTTTAAAACAAAGAAAACTTAATTTTTTAGAAATATATAGTGAAGAAATGATTATTACAGCAAAGAATATCATTAAACAGGTAATTATACTTTTTTCTTTGATATATTTTCATCTAGAATCTTTTGTGAAGTTTATTTTTACATGATCCTGTAATAATACATGCAGTATCATAGTAATATTTTCTTTTATTAAAACATTTTTAATATAGAAAAAGAAGAAAGAAAAACATAGCCCTACCAGTCAAAAAGATTATCACTTTAAGAATATTTCTAGGGCTTCCCTGGTGGTGCAGTGGTTGGGAGTCCACCTGCCGATGCAGGGGACGCAGGTTCGTGCCCCTGTCCGGGAGGATCCCACATGCCATGGAGCAGCTGGGCCCGTGAGCCATGGCTGCTGGGCCTGTGCGTCCGGAGCCTGTGCTCTGCAGCGGGACAGGCCACAGCAGTGAGAGGGCCCTGTACCGAAAAAAAAAAAAAAGAATATTTCTAAGCATAAGTTGTTACTGGTGTTTATCATTGGTGCTCTCATACTGTATATATAATTTTGAATTGTATTATATATTTCCGTTTGAACCATAACATAAGCATTTGCTCATAAGCCTTCAGAAATATCACTTTTAGTGGTTGTATAAAATTCCATCAACATTATGTTAGTTAAACCTGTTTAAGCTTTCCTCTGTGTTAAATATTTAGGTCATTTTCATTTCGGTACTATAAAGAGCACTGTGACAAACATCTTTGGTATGCTTTGGTATAAAGTCTTGTTTGTTCGGTTTCTCATATTTAAGACTATTTTTCTTATAACTGATTCCTGAAGTGGAATTATTGGTCAGAGAGTGAAATGTATTTTTAAATTGTTTGATACATAGAGCTGAATTGCTTTTATTCTAAAAACATTTTACCAATAGTATATACTTTCACCAGCGTTTCTTCTTACTCTGATCTCTAAGAAATTATAATTGTAAACTAAAATCTATTTGTTTTTTTTTAGTCTTCCCTGATTTTTTTCCCAAGCTAATTGGTATTTATTACAACACAATTGGCATAAAGTGATAAAGTGGAATTGTCAGACATTTTACATCTGCATTACTTTTAGAAATTAAAAGAAAAAGCTTACTATCTACAATGCTATCAAAGTTTCAGTGTTTGTCATCTACTCATTAGAAAGTAGATATATATTTTAAGGTTATTTCAGTTTTAAAGATGTGAAATTCAAGTTGCCGCTATATTTCATGAGATACAATTTTTTTCCATAAGCATTTTTTTTTTTTACATCTTTATTGGAGTACAATTGCTTTACAATCTTGTGTTAGTTTCCTCTGTACAACAAAGTGAATCAGCTATGTGTATACACTTCCCTGATTTTTGTTTTGACTTTTTCTATTCAGATAAATCTCATTCTCTGAACTTTAGTTTTTCTGTATGTGAAAAAGAACAATTTTGAATGAATTTCTTAGGCTTAATTGATCATCGTCATTAGGTTGAATGTACATTTCTTAGTTTTTAATGTTTAAATAAAACAAGCAAGAAAAATGTTACAATCGCCCCATCTTTTACCTCTTTCAAACATTGACTAAAACACCATATTTTAAAATTATCACTGCCACTTCCAAAACTTGTTGATAACTAGCACTAAATATACATGTATATTATAGCTTAGCAATTCTACTTCTAGGTAATTTACCCAACAGAAATTCATACCTAGGCTCACCAAAGACAGCACATGCATTCCATGGCAGCATATTTGTAATAAAAAACCAGAAAAACTCAGTTATCATCAGTAAAAAAGATAAATAGAATTGTAACATATTTACATCATTGAATACTATACAGCAATGAGAATGAATAAGCTACATGGAACAACATGGATATTCACATACATAAGGTGGAGCCAAAGAAGCCAGACACGGAAGAGTACACACTGTATGATTCCACTTACGTAAAATTCAAACACGGACAAAATTAATCGGTGGTGTTAGAAATCAGGATAGTAATGTCTTTTGGGAGGAAGTAGTGACCAGGAGGGGAGCAGGAGGGGCTTACTGGTAATATTCAATTTCATAATCTGAGTTCTGGTTAAATAGGTGCACTCCATTTGTAAAAAAAATATTGAGCTATAAACATAATTTGTACAGTTTTCTGTATGTATATTATACTTTTAAACAGTTTTTAAAAACTGCTCTGTTTTAATTCCTAGACTTCTAAAGTCTGAGCATTTATTTTTTAAAACCTTAAACTGTTGCACGTGTTGCAAGGAAGTGTGACCTCCAAAATGAATTTCTTTTGGAATTTTAGTATGGGGCTTATACCATGTCCTAAGTATTATAGTTCTATGGGGGTTTTGTGTGTGTGCGTGTGTGTTTGTGTGTGTTGTGTGTGTATTTGTGTGTGAACAGTTTTAAATAGTAGGAAATTGTGATTAATACAGTTCAAGCATACCCTGGAATAATTATTTAATAGGGTAAAGGTAATGCTGCAGTTTTTTAAACACCTTGAGGTGTAAGAGACAGGAGAAGTTTGGTCAAATAATTATAGTCATTGAGGCCCTTATTAATATACAAATGAACATGTAGTACTTAAAGTTCTAAAGACATTAATCAAATTTTTTTTCTTAAATTTTGCAGTGTGTGATTAATAAAGTTTCACAAATAGAAGACATAGACACAGATGTTGTTTTGAAGTAAGTATAAATATTAAGTTGGGGTTACCAGTCAGGGAAAAGATAACGCATTAGAATAATCTAAGGAGGATTTAGTTCAGGAATTATTTGCTAAGGTGTGGGTAGAGTGTAGGAAAATCACAAGTGATAGTGCAGTACCTTTAAGGGACAAAGAAAGAGAGCAGTTAATGGAATTCAGGAGAAGAAGATGGAAGTAGCTGAAAAAAAAAAAGTCTTTTAGTAGTTGAAGTGATCTTCAGTGGAGGGAGGCAGTCATCCTGAGGTAACCCCGCAGGGATGGAGACGGACTATTAGCACCTTTCCTCCTTTCAGTCTTTTGTAAGGGCTCCTCACTGGCCAAGCCCAGCAGGTCAGCCTCCCAGGGCAGAGAGAGGGTGGAGAGGATACAACGTCATATGGAGGGTGGAAATTGAAGAGGAATAGCGGTGTTAAATTTAAATTATTTAGCTATATAATTAAAACCCAGTTAGCATTGAGAAGTTTGAGTACATGATTTTGAATTGCCCATGTCTATAATTTTTTGTTTTCCCCTTGAAATAACTATTCTTATTTTAAGGAGAACAGTGATAAATATTTTATGACTATGAATTTCTTATTCATATAGGTATCTAAACTTTATTAACTGGTCTAAGATATGAATAGTAATATGGACAACCGTAAAACTTCTCTGGGTCAGACTCATAGAATGAGGATTGTGGAGTTTTAATTTCCACACTATTACCTAGTGAAAGCTCAGTTTCAGAATTAGTTGAAGCAATCCTAATAATGCAGGGGTCACTAGTAGTTGGAAAAATTAAGTTACTGGACCTTTGCTAAAAGCCCTATATACATGGAGAGTCAGTTATTTTTAATATTTTTCTTCCCTAGGGAATTTTCTCAACTTAGAGAACATCCTATATCTCAAGTGTATAGGAGTATCTTTTGAGAATAAAGTCCTAGATGTAGCAGTGTTAATTAAAAATTTGGAGTAATAAGTCTAAAATATCTTTATGGAATTCTATTTTTTTATTAATTTTTAATCTTAAAGTTGATTGATGTCAGTTATAAAAATATTGGCTGTACTATTATGTATTGTAATATTTAGTATATATATAATATATATGTAACTAATACAATATTGGCTAATACTTACTTACATAGCACTGTGCATTGTTCTGAGTACTTCATATTAACTCAGTTTATATTCACAGCTACCATATAAGGTAGGTTCTACCCATTTAAAATGAGAAAATTAGATCGTGGAGGAGTTAAGTCATTTGTCCAGAGTCACACAACTAGTAAGTGGCAGGGCTGGAACTTGAACCAAGGCACTGTGGCTTAAGAGCCCATGCTCTTAGCCACCATGCCACATGATCCTTCATATATGGAAGAGTACTTTTTAGTTTGTAGTTAGAAAAGTAGGTTATTAAGTTTATTAGGGGAGATGTTATGTTTCTATTTTTATTTTTTTTTAACATTTTTATTGGAGTATAATTGCCTTATAATGGTGTGTTAGTTTCTGCTTTATAACAAAGTAAATCAGTTATACATATACATATATCCCCATATCTCCTCCCTCTTGCATCTCCCTCCCTCCCACCCTCCCTCTCCCACCCTTCTAGCTGGTCACAAAGCACCGAGCTGATCTCCCTGTGCTATGCGACTGCTTCCCACTATCTGTTTTACATTTGGTAGTGTATATATGTCCATATATACACTACCACTCTCTCACTTTGTCTCAGCTTACCCTTCCCCCTCCCTGTGTCCTCAAGTCCATTCTCTAGTAGGTCTGTGTCTTTATTCCCGTCTTGCCCCTCGGTTCTTCATGACTATTTTTTTTATTTTTAGATTCCATATATATGTGTTAGCATACGGTATTTGTTTTTCTCTTTCTGACTTACTTCACTCTGCATGACAGACTCTAGGTCCATCCACCTCACTACAAATAACTCAATTTCGTTTCTTTTTATGGCTGAGTAATATTCCATTGTATACATGTGCTACATCTTCTTTATCCGTTCATCTGTCGATCGACACTTAGGTTGCTTCCGTGTCCTGGCTATTGTAAATAGAGCTGCAATGAACATTGTGGTACGTGACTGTTTTTGAATTATGGTTTTCTCAGGGTATATGCCCAATAGTGGGATTGCTGGGTCGTATGGTAGTTCTATGTGTAGTTTTTTAAGGAACCTCCATACTGGCTGCTTTTAAGGAATCTCCATAGTGGCTGTATCAATTTACATTCCCACCAACAGTGTATGAGGGGTTCCCTTTTCTCCACACCCTCTCCAGCATTTATTGTTTGTAGATTTTTTGATGATGGCCATTCTGACCGGTGTGAAATGATATCGCATTGTAGTTTTGGTTTGCATTTCTCTAATGATTAATGATGTTGAGCATTCTTTCATGTGTTTGTTGGCAATCTGTATATCTTCTTTGGAGAAATGTCTGTTTAGGTCTTCTGCCCATTTTTGGATTGGGTTGTTTGGTTTTTTTGATATTGAGCTGCATGAGCTGCTTGTAAATTTTGGAGATTAACACTTCGTCAGTTGCTTCATTTGCAACTATTTTCTCCCATTCTGAGGGCTGTCTTTTCATCTTGTTTATGGTTTCCTTTGCTGTGCAAAAGCTTTTAAGCTTCATTAGGTCCCATTTATTTATTTTTATTTCCGTTTCTCTAGGAGGTGGGTCATAAAGGATCTTGCTGTTATTTATGTCATAGAGTGTTCTTCCTAAGTTTTCCTCTAAGAGTTTGATAGTGTCTGGCCTTACATTTAGGTCTTTAATCCATTTTGAGTTTATTTTTGTGTATGGTATTAGGGAGTGTTCTAATTTCATTCTTTTACATGTAGCTGTCCAATTTTCCCAGCACCACTTATTGAAGAGGCTCGTTTATTAAGGCAGATGTTATGTTTCTATTTTTATTCCAGAATATATCTTTTCCATATTTAACCAAAATTTGTCTATTTCTCTATGCTTTTTCATCGAATGGTCACGAAGCATGTTCACATGGAATTACTACATGATAAGATTCATAAGTCAGTGTACTTGACTAGTCTTAGAGATGTTTAAACAAGGAGAAGTTGCTTAGTAATTGACATGTTCATCTCAATTTTACAATTTTAGCTAGGTATCTAGATTAAATTGCGTTTTATTATTCTTTTGTTGCTAGTATTTAGTGTAGTTTCCTCCAATTTGTAGATAACACCATGTGTTGGCCTGAAGACAGTCATTATTTTTGTTTGAATTTTTTTTTCTAGGCTTGCAGATCAGATGAGAATGTTGAATTTTCTTCAGTGGTTTGATCTGCTAAAGGATATTTTCTCTAAGTTTACAATTTTCCTACAGAGAGTTAAGGTAAGCTTATGTGTTTATCAGTTTGTCCAGAATATCCCTAAAGTTAAGTCATCTTTCTAGATATGAAAATTAGAATAAAACAAAATTTCTTTGTTTCTGTAATTTTTCTAAAGGGTTTTAAATTAGATTTGAAGTGCTTCAGAGTATTTTGGTACCTTTTTATAATTTTGGATGATATGTTTTATTTTAAAAGAAATATGCTAACTTGGCATTAAATATTATACAGTAATATTTCCTTTTGTGATTTTGTGATGCTTGAATCTCTGTAGATTACCTAGAATTACAATATTGTGAAACACTCAAAAATCTATCCCAAACCACTTAATTTTTCTAGGAATTTAATGTTGATGTAATGGTATTTTTAAACATATGGTTCATATTTAAATTGCTCTACTAATGTTCTTTATTGCAGGGTTTTTTTTTCATTTTTCAATCTGGAATCCATTCATGTATCATGCATTGCATTTAATTACTTTGTCCCTTTGGTCAAACAACTTAATTTTAATCCAGTCATTATAAGGAAAAGAACACATGCCACACAGCATTTTTCAGAAGAAAAAATGTCACAGACTCTAATACATGTTGGTTGGGATTACCAACATGTCATAACTGTGTTTTAATAAGACAGTCATTAGGAATTACTGAGTATAACAGACTGTTTGTGAAATGTGATATTCTTTGAATTATCAGGTGTCAATATTGTATTTATGTCCTAGTTAACATCCCTGGCATCTCCTGAGTTTCATGTTAAAAATGATCTGAGGGACTTTGGTACTTATCTGTGATATGACTTCCTTATTGACATTGACATGCTCTAAGTCACATACATAAGCTTTCCAGTCAGAGTGGAAAAAGTTTTATAAAATGTGATTCACTATACTTAATTCAGACTCCTACCAAAATGTTGATCCTATCCATTGATAGTGATAGATAGCAAACCTTTATCTGTGGATTGCACAGTAACGAGGCCTTGTTTTCACTTTTTCTTATATTCCTACCATGATCTTATCACACACAGGTCTGGATATATAGAACTCCTACATTGCATAGTTAGAACTGGCCAACTTTTTGCCAGTTATTTTTAAGTTTAACCTATCTTTTAGGTTCTATATCAGTTAAACTAAGCCACATTATTATTTGATGTATGTACAATATGGGAACAGTGATTTGTCCTAATTGTAGCTTCTTATTTTCACATTTAGGCCACTTAAACTAATACTGTTGTAAAACGTCTTTGAAAATGATGTTTAATCTTTAAATATAGTACTTTTCTCTTTGAAAAAGTTTGTGGTACCTTGAGGGCGTGATTTTGCTGAAAAATAATGTTAATTACAGCTGTTCATTTTTAATGAAGAATTTTTAAATAACTACAAATTGGAAAGAACCATGATGTCTAACAATAGAGGAATGGTAAAATAAGTTATGCCTGGTATATACACTATCATGGAATATCATGCAGGCAAGGATTTTGTATGATTGAAGAAAATGCATGCATTATAACGTTAAGCTAAAAAGCAAGACAGAGACCTACTTAAATATATAGTCTGCTCTTAGCTGTGTTAGAAAGATTTTTTTACCTCTTCATCTCCATAGACCAAAGAGACAGCTTGTCTTTTTAGTGGTTATCTTTAGGTGGTAGTGTTATGTATAATTTAAATTTGTGATTCATTCTTTTCTGGTTTTCCTAAGTTTTCTAGAAAAAGAGGTATTACTTTTTTTTAATTGAACTATAGTTGATTTACAATGTTGTGTTAGTTTCTGGTATACAGCAAAGTGATTCAGTTATACATATATATATTCTTTTTCCTATTCTTTTCCATTATAGTTTATTACAGGATATTGAATATAGTTCCCTGTACTATACAGTAGGACCGCTGTTTATCTATTTTATATATAGTAGTTTGTATTTGCTAACCCCCAAATCCTAATTTATCCCCCCGCCTGCCGCACCACCACCACCCCCTCAGCTCTTTCCCCTTTGGTAACCATAAGTTTGTTTTCTATGTCTGTGAGTCTATTTCTGTTTTGTAAATAAGTTCATTTGTATCAGTTTTTTTAGATTCTACATATAAGTGATATCATGTGGTATGTGGTATTTGTCTTTCTCTTTCTGGCTTACTTCACTTAGTATGATAATCTCTAGGTCCATCCATGTTGCTACAAATGACATTATTTCATTCTTTCTTACGGCTGAGTAATATTCCATTGTATATATGTACCACATTTTCTTTATCCATTCATCTGTCGATGCACGTTTAGGTTGCTTCCATGTCTTGGCTATTGTAAATAGTACTGCTATGAACATTGGGTTGCATGTATCTCTTTGAATTAGAGTTTTCTCTGGATATATGCCCAGGAGTGAGACTGCTGGATTATATGGTAACTCTATTTTTAGTTTTTTAAGGAACTTCCATACTGTTCTCCATAGTGGCTGTACCAATTTACATTCCCACCAACAGTGTAGGAGGGTACCTTTTTCTCCACACTCTCTCCAGCATTTACTATTTGTAGACTTTTTGATGATGGCCACCCTGACTGGTGTAAAGTGATACCTCATTGTGGTTTTGGTTTGCATTTCTCTAATAATTAGTGATATTGAACATCTTTTCTGGTGCCTGTTGGCCATCTGTATGTCTTCTTTGGAGAAAATGTCTATTTAGATCTTCTGCCCATTTTTTAATTGGGTTGTTTGGTTTTTTTTTTTTTTTTTTTGATTTTGCCCTGTGTGAGCTGTCTGTATATTATGGAAATTAATCCCTTGTCAGTTGCATCATTTGCAAATATTTTCTCCCAGTCCATAGGTTGTCATTTCATTTTGTTTATGGTTTCCTTTGCTGTGCAAAAACTTTTAAGTTTGATTAGGTCCCATTTGTTTATTTTTATTTTTATTTCCATTACTCTAGGAGACAGGTCCCCCAAAATATTGCTGTGATTTACAACATGTCAAAGACTGTTCTGCCTATGTTTTCTTCTAGGAGTTTTACAGTATCTGGTCCTACATTTAGTTCTTTAATCCATTTTGAAGTTTTTTTTTTTATATGGTGTTAGAGAGTGTTCTCGTTTCATTCTTTTACATGTAGCTATCCAGTTTTCCCACCACCACTTGTTGAAGAGACTGTCTTTACTCCATTGTATATTCTTGCTGTATTTTGCCCTTTGTTGTAGATTAATTGACCATGAGTGCATGGGTTTATTTCTGGGCATTAATTGTATTTTGTATTTTTATTAGAATTCTTGTTTATTGTTTATATCCCATAGTGTAAGATGATTTGTATAGCTAAAAAAGAAAATAATCCTTAAATGCAAGCTTACATTCTCTTTTAAGAAATTTTTAACTCTTAAGTTTTCAATTTATTACGTGGACAAATAATTCTGGACTATCATTTTAAAGACTTATGAATATGGTTACCAGATTATTTCATTCATTATTCTCAAGACTGGAAAAATTTATTTTAGCGGTTCTGGTCTTTGAACATGAACTTGACTGTAAACTGCTGCAATATGAAAGTTCAGAGAATAAATCGCGTACCTACTGTTGAATCTACTATATATTGTAAAATCTTCTGGCATCCTTAAGCAAGAATGGCTCTGGTGTTGGAAAAAAATAATCAGCAAATCTTTAAAACTGTAGGTATGGTGAAAACAGTGAAGAAGAACCCTTAAGAGAACACCTGATACACTGTATATGGAAAGTTTATTGTATTAGCTAAGATGTTGTCAGTTAAAAGGGACAAAGTATTCAAATGAAACTAATTTAAACAATAAAAGAAATGCATTGGCTTGGGGAACTTAAAATAGTCCAAAACGAGGATAGGTGGTCCAAACGTGGTCATGGTTTTCTCGCTTAGTTTCTCTGTTTTAATTCACTTCTACCTCCTCTTTGTTGGCTTCACCTTCAAAGTAACCAACCTAATTATAGCAAAATGGCTATGTATAACAGTTTTAGGTCTTCCACATTTGTATACTCTACTTCCTAAAACAAGATTTTTTCTTGTTCAATCATCAAAGTCCTTGGTTTTAATCCACTGGGCTGATTTAGGTTACTGTGGTCAGGACAATGCTGTGCACTGCTTGCTTTGGGTCTGGATTTTCTTCTCACTTATGAACTAATCCTGTGGCAAGGAGGTTGGGAGTATACTGTGTGGGATACGTAGGAATAACACCTGAAGCCGGAAGGTGGACTCAGTTTTGCATAGCTGTATTCCTATGGGGGAGGTATAGAATAGTTGTTGGGGAGAAAAAGACTATGTCCAAAGACCGTGACCATTTTTTATTAAAAATTTTTTTAAGAAAGAAAATCGTCAAGAGAGAAGAGATAAGGAAGAACAAAGGCAAAATGAAGATGGGGGAGAAAGCACATCAAGATTAAGACGAGACAGTAGTGAGGATTAAAAGCAGCAATGGAGGAGTGTAGCAAGGAGCAAGTTTGTGACAATAGAGAAGTTACTGATTAATGGAGAAAGAAAATATGCAGTGTCCACAGACACTCGAAGGCTCAGAATCTCTCATATACTGTATGGAATATTGTATCACTTAGAGTGCATTTAGTTCCAAATAACAGGAAACACAGAGTGTTTTAAACAATTAAGGGGGTTTATTAGTTCATATAACTGAAAAATAACCATAGGTAGGTCAGCCTTTAGGTGCTTGATAGAGAGGTTGATGATGTTATCAAGCCTTGGTTTTGTTTCTCTGTGTTTCTCTCAGTCTGTCTTCTGTGTATCTTCTTTAGCTTTAAGCTCAGGTGGTGGTTCCATTAGTTGATTGGACTAGCTTAGACCCTTATCCTATCTTTGGAGACTTAAAGTTGGAGTCTGCTTGCCTAGAACCATGTAGATCCTAAAAAAGAAATCAAGAGTTTTAAGAAAGGAGCAACAAATTACAAGAACACAACCATGAATGTTAAAGTAGGAATGCAGCCCCTGTTTCTTAGTAGTCCATGAAGACATTGACTTACATAAATTTACTCTTAATTCATCTAGCTTTCAGTATTTATTAAGTACCTCCTATGTGCCCTGTACTTACTATTCTAGGCAGTAGGATATAATATCTCATGGAGCTAACATTGTAGTGGAAAGAGACCTAGAATTAAAAAAATAAAAAAATAGTGGTAACTGTTATTTTAAAAAAACTGGTTAATGAGATAGGGTTGCTGGAAGGAGTCATAGGAGGCTTCTTTTTTTGTTGTTTTTGATTCAGTTTTATTTATTTATTTATTTTATTTTTTTGCCGTGCGGCATGAGGGACCTTAGTTCCCCTACCAGGGATCGAACCCGTGCCCCCTGCATCGGGAGCACGGAGTCTTAACCACTGGACCACCAGGGACGTCCCGGAGGCTTCTTGAGGAAGTGACAGTTGTGCAGGAACCTGAGTGATGAGAAGGAAACATGTATGCAAACATCAAGGTGAAGAACATTCCAGGCAGAGGAAACAACAAAGGCACTGAGATGGGAACAGTGGAATTTAGAAGAATAGGAAGAGAACCAGAATGTCTGGAGAGCAGTGAATGAGTGAGAAAATGGTGTAAGATGAGGAGAGAGAGATGGATTTAATGGTAGGTACGGTAAGGAATACGGATTGTTTTTTCCTTTTAAGAAAGCACAGCAGGACTTCCCTGGTGGTGCAGTGGTTAAGAATCCGCCTGCCAACGTAGGGGACATGGGTTTGATCCCTGGTCTGGGAAGATCCCACACATCGCGGAGCAACTAACCCCGTGCTCCACAACTACTGAGCCTGTGCTCTAGAGCCCGCGAGCCACAGCTACTGAAGCCCATGCGCCTAGAGCCCGTGCTCCTCAACAAGAGAAGCCACTGCAACGAGAAGCCCGTGCACCACAACAAAGAGTAGCCCCCGCTCGCCGCAACTAGAGAAAGCCCGTGCACAGCAGTGAAGACCCAATGCAGCCAAATCAATTAATTAATTAAAAAAAAAACCCAGTGAATATTTGTTGCATAGATGATTGGATACTGGTTGCTCTGTTCCAAACACCCCCCTTTAAAAAAAATAGAAAAGAAAGCACATCAGTCAACGAATATGATCCTCTGACAGGCAAGTTATGTTTAGTGTAACCTATTTAAGAAGTTAGAGAAATATGCAGTATATTTTAGGGAGATTTCCATTTACAAAATTAATTTGTAAATGGAGCCCTATGTCTAAGCTTTAGGGAACCCATCTCTCTTGAGCAATTCTTTTTCACAATTCACCTTTACTGTGTATTAAAAGAAATTCTGATATGCATGACCTTGACTCATTTGTAAGATGTTGAAAAGTACATACACAGAGTTCACTTTTGGAACCTTTAGGTACAAAATATTTTAAATTCTTTAAAAATGTACCCTGTTTTCTTGTAGGCAACGTTAAATATCATTCACAGTGTTGTTCTCTCAGTTCTTGACAAAAACCAAAGGACTAGAGAATTGGAGGAGATTTCGCAGCAGAAGAATGCTGCAAAAGACAATTCATTGGACACAGAGGTGGCTTATTTAATCCATGAAGGCATGTTTATAAGCGATGCATTCAGTGAGAGTGAATTAACACCTATAGCAATTGACACTACCTCTCAAAGAAATGCATCTCCAAATAGTGAGCCCTGCAGCAGTGATTCGGTATCCGAACCAGAATGTACTACTGATTCTTCATCCAGCAAAGAGCAGACATCATCATCTGTTACTCCAGGAGCTGTGGATATTATGTGAGTATGGTGACTGCTGCCAAGTTAACAAGATTTTGAGTCATCTTATTAATGGTTCCAATAAGATTGGTTATTCAGTTTATTGAGAAACTGTGTACGCTTTGGTCTTTTGGAATTTAATTTAACAAAAATAAATTAATTTTCTGAAACATGTATCTTTTTGAAAATGTATGCAAGGTAAGGAGGTGAGCATTGGAAGTAATTGAGAATTGTAGAATTTTAAGGCTGGGAAGGAACCATTTAATTAAATGCCCTCAATTTGGAGAGTTTAGATGACTTATTTAAAGTCATTAGTGGCAGAACCTGTCCTGGAACTCAGGTCAGTATTTCCTTGGTTATGTTTCTTTCTTTTACTATGTCACCTTTGTATTTTGTATATAGTGAAAATCTGTTTGATTTACAATTTTCAGTTTTTCAGACGTGAATTTCCAAGTGGGTCGCACTATCTTTTTTAATATTACTTTTTTAAACTTATTTTGAAGTAATTTCAAATTTACAGAAAAGTTGTCAGCATTGTACAAAAAACTCTCATATATCTTTCACCTTGCTTCCCCAGTTAATGGTTTACCACATTGCCCTCTTTCTCCCTTCCTCTCTTTTTCTCACTCTCTTTTTGTGTCTCCTTTCTTTGTCTCTCATGTTAAAATTTTTTCTCAATCATTTGACAGTAGGTTGCAGACTTGATGTTCCAAATACTTCAGTGTATATTTCCTAAATACAATAACACTCTCTTAAATAACTACAGTATACCAATTAAAATCAAGAAAACATTGCTGCATTATTACCATCTAATGCACAGACCCCATTCAAAGTTCACCAGTTGTCCCAATAATGTTCTGAATAGGAAGAACAAAAATAAAACAGCCAATAAAATCTTTCTGGTCCAAGAACATTGTTTGTATTTTGTTATTATTAAGAATAATAAGAATTCAGTACTTTTGTTCATTTTGATGTAAGTCGGCTTATAGCCCAGGAGCTTATAAAGGTTGCAGTTATAGTGTAAAGTCAGCTATAATACCTCCCCCTCCCCACCATAAATCAATCAATCAAACCCTGAACTATATATTAATAAAATTTTTTCTTCTCTGTTCTGGCTTATATTTTCACATTTATTAGTTAGGGTTCAGTCTAAAACTGCTGTTAAAAGAGATGTAAAAACATCTGTAGCTTAAACAATATAGAATTTTGTTTCTCTCCTGTAACAATTCAGAGGTAGGAGGTCCAGAGCTGAGAAGGTAGCTCTACCATCTCATTGTGTAGCTTCCCTCTGTGTCTTAGGAGGTTTTATCATCTCATTTCAATCTGTAGCAGCAGGAAGGAGAGGACAAAGGCTGGTACTCTCCTTACTTTTTTGTTTTGTTTTAACCTTTCAATTGGAATGTGATGCACATATAGGGAAATGGACCAGTTATAAGTGTTCAGCTCAATTTATTATAACAAAATGAACGCCCTGGTGTAATCACCAAGGTTAAGAGATAGAACATTACCAGCTCTCTAGAAGCCCCCCCTGCCACTATGCTTTCACTTTTCCCCCCCAAAAAACATTAAAACTATTGGTGTTTCCAGGTTTTAAACTTTATATAAATGGAACCATAAATGGAATCATGTTCTTTAGTCTTTAATTTCTTTCATTCCACATTATATTTGTGATATTTTTCTAAGTAGTTCCATGCAGCAGTAGTTTATTTGTGCATAAATATTCCACTTCTGACTACACCACAATGTATTTATCATGCTGTTGTTGATGAAATTTGGATTATTTTCAGTTTGATTGTTGTGAACATTCTTGTAGATGTCTTCAGTGTACATGACATAAGTATTTCTGTTGAATATATACCTAGGAATGAATAAGTATTGTGAATAGCCAATTTAACTAATGCCAAACAATTTCCCAAAGGATTGTACTCCTTTACAATCCTGTCAGCTGTGTGGAAGCATTCCTATCACTCCATATCTTCATTCACTCTTGGTATTGTCAGTCTTTTACATTTTAGACGTTTTGGTGGATATGTCACAGGTATAGTAGTTTAAATTTTTACTTCCCTGATGATTGGTAAGAGGGCACTTTTCATATATTTATTGGCTGTTTGGATGTCCTCTTCTGTGAAGGCCCTATTCAAATCCTTTGCCCACTTCTCTATTGGTTTGCCTTTTATTTCTTATTGATTTATGGGAGTTCTTTATGTAGTCCCAACACAGCCCTTTGTCAGTTGTCCATACTGCAGATATCTTCTCCCACTCTGTGGGTTGACTTTTCACTCTCTTATTGGGGTCTTTGGTGAACAAAATTTCTTAATTTTAATATCTTATGATTCAATCTTTCCTTTTATGGTTTGTGCTTTTTTGTGTGTCCTATTTAAGAAATCTTTCCCTAACCTAAGACTTTGATGATATTCTCTTATGTTTTTTTCTGGAAGCTTTGTTGCTGTCCCTTTCACATTTAGATCCACAATCCATCTGGAATTGATTTTTGTGTATAGTGTGGGGTTGTTGTCTTTTTCCTCATGTGGATATCTTTTTAACTTCACACCATTTATTGAAAAGACTGTCTTACCCATGGCTCTATAGTGCCACTCTTGTCTTAAATTAAATATTCATATATGAATGAGTCTGTTTCTAGATTCTGTTTTCTTACTTGTCTGCTTTGCACCGGTACCATTAAGTAAAATTGTATTAGTTATGATCGCTTTTTTTTTTTTTTTTTTTTTTTGCGGTACGTGGGCCTCTCACTGTTGCGGCCTCTCCCGTTGCAGAGCACAGGCTCCGGATGCGCAGGCTCAGTGGCCATGGCTTACAGGCCCAGCTGCTCCGTGGCATGTGGGATCCTCCCTGACCGGGGCACGAACCCATGTCCCCTGCATCGGCAGGTGGACTCTCAACCACTGCGCCACCACGGAAACCCTATGATCGCTTTTTAATTAGTCTTAATATCTGGTCATTTCTCCTACCTTTTATTCTTCTTCCAGTATGCCCTATTTATGTTGCAAATCCATATACATTTTAGATTTGTTAGTTCCCTGTTGCTTTCACATAAATTTGTTCATGTTTTATCCTTTCTTTCTTTTTAAGAGCATAGTTCAGAATTTGCAGTCCCACATCCTAGTGGCTAGAATATTATCACATGTCTATATCTAGCTGTAAGAGAGGCTTGAGAAATAGTCTATAGCTTGTTGGCTATTTGATAGCTAAAACTATTATGGCAGAAGTGAGAAACGATATTAAAAGATAGCTAGAAATCAGCTGTACTATTTGAGATTCCTTTAAATCAAATGCAGCCTCATAGTTTTTATCCCTCCCCTCCCACCTCCATTGTGGCTTACTATACACTCTGGAGCTTCTCTGGCTTTCCACAATGGCATGCTCCCATAGCATGATACCAGAGGTTCTGTAGGTGGTTTCTTCTGTTTCATAGGCACATAAATGTCCGGGAACTACCCACCCCCAAGGGGCAATGGATTGATTGAGTATATTTATACATGTGACCCTAACTAGTTCTTTCTTGTATCAAGTGTTTTTGCAGTATGTAATTGTGTCATAGATGTAGTACATGCAGAAATGATGTCTGATTTTTTATCTATGTTAGTGGTAGATTTTCCATATTTTCTTACATTATCAAAATAGTCTACAACTTTGTAAGTTTATTCCAATGCAGACATGGGCACAAAAGAGTAAATAATTTCCCATGCAGGAAATGGGAAAGGAAAAATAATGGAAAGGATTAGAAAGTTTTGTAGGTTTTTAAAATTTTTTATTTTAAATTAAATTGTGGTTAAAATAAAAACATATAAAGTTTACCATCTTAGCCATTTCTAAGTGCACAGTCCAGTAGTGGTAAATATATTCACACTGTTGTACAACCAATCTCCAGATCTTTTTCTTCTTGCAAATGTGAAATCCTATGCACATTAAGCAACAACTCCCCATTTCCTTCCCTACCAATCCCCTGGCAACCACTCTTCTACTTTCTGTCTCCATGAGTTCAACTACTCTAGGTACTTCATATAAGTGGAATCATACAGTATTTGTCCTTTTGTTTAGCATATTGTGTTTAAGGTTCATCTATGTTGTAGTATGTGTCAGAATTTCCTTCTTTTTATAGGCTTAGTAATATTCCATTGTATGTATATACCACATTTTATCTATCTGTCAGTGGACTCTTGGATTGCTTCCATCTCTTGGCTGTTATGAATAGTGCTACTGTGAACATGGGTGTGCAAATATATCTCTTTGAGATCCTGCTTTCAGTTCTTTTGTGTACATAGCCAGAAGTAGAATTACTGGATCATGTCTGTGAGGTTTTGTTTTTTGCTTTTCCCTATTAACGTGAAAGAGATCCATTAGACTTAAATTTTTAAAAATCTTTTTAAAAAGCAAAATTACAAACAAATAAATGATTTTTTTAGAAAACCAAACATCCCAGGTTTTTGGATTGTCACCCTACTTTCTTAAAGACTTAAGTTGTTTTTTTTTTTTTGCTATTTCCCGTTTATATCTTTGTGAATTGGTGGCGTATTGGTAAGAGTTCCAAATTCTTAATCATTCCCTTACTTAGGGGCAAATTTTAGAAATCCTTCAGAAAATCGAATTTACAATTGAAATAAAATTTTAACTTTGAAATTTAAGCAAACAGTTTTATGGGAGCTGGAATTGAAATAGCACTTGGACTGTTTATATAGAAGGAAATGTTGCAGTAGAAGAAGCTTATCAGATTAGAAATAGAATTAGACTAATTCTGGGTTCTAGTCCCACCCTCTTAACCTTGTGACCTTGAGTAGATCACTTAAACTTTCAAGATTCAGTATCCTCATCTGTAAAGTAGAAATTTATCTATCTTCTTCAGAGTGTGAGAACCAAGCAAGATACTGTATCTGAGAGTATATTAAAAAATATTTATCCATCCATTATTTTAAAGCACTGGTAAGTAAATTTAATGATATAACTTTAAAGGATAGCAGGTAATAACTTTCTTTAATACCTTAACCCAGTGAGAGTGGTGGTTTGCCTCAAATTAATATACATCAGGTCCTCTTTGAAATATCTTTGAAAGTTATTTTAGTTCAACTGAAACGGAGAAAAATTATGCTAAGGTACTTCACTTGGTTCATGATAACACTAAACTGACTTGTTGGCACAGAATCAGTGGTCTTTATACATGCCCTGGGGAAAAATGTATAAAAAACAGGAAGTCTTACATTTCTTCCTCAAAACTGGAATAGATGCATTACATATTATAAATACTCCTATTTAATTGTAAGTTTCTTGAGAACAGTATTCCCTCCAGTGCATAGTAGTTAAGCACAGTAAATACTCAGGAAATATTAGCTTAGTTGATCTGACTATTAATAGTCATTCATAATTATAAGTAAAAAGAGGGCCTGTTTGTTCCTTCTTTCCATTCCTTTCCTCTTGCTTCCACCATGTCATCCTAAGCACCTGTGCACAACCTGCCACAGCTACGCCCTTGTACCTAATGAGAATTTCTTTTGCTGTAGTTTTTGCAGAATTTCCAGTCAGAGTCTGAACTAAGTATTAAAAATACTACAGCAGAGAGAGAAAATTATTCTTATATAATATTAGGGTAAAATATATTTGTGTTATCTGAGCTTGTTTATGTGATGCTCTACCACAAAAATAAAAGTATATGATACATCACAGAATTTTCCCTCAAATGTAAATTTTACAGCTTTTTGTTTTTTATTGGTACGTCATCTATGGTGAACAGTGTGTTCACAACTTTCCTTGACTTAATCTCTTTCTGTCATTTTCAGGGTCAATGAAGACATGAAATTAACTGACTTAGAGCTGGGAAAGCTGGCAAATAATGTCCAGGAGTTATTATATAGTGCCTCAGATATATGCCATGATCGAGCTGTCAAATTTCTCATGTCAAGAGCAAAGGTTAGTTGTTTTAATAAACTTTAGATATTTTATACATAGTAACATTATTTTAAAGATCTGGAATATATCCTTGCTTGTGTCCCTATTCCACATAATGCATATTTTGAACACTTAATAAGGTACTGGTGTGGTCTATTAAGGAGATGTTGAAATGCAAAATAATCCAAATAAAAGAAATAGAAAAAATTAAGCATGCTTTTCAAATAAATGATTAAAAGACTTATTTTGAAATATAATACCTTAATAATTAATTTGAAATTAATATGCTGTTTTTATACATATATATGTGTATACCTAGCCAAATAATTTATTAAGAAAATTAGTTGTACTCCAATAGTATGACAATTGTATAGTATGATCTGAATTTATTTGAGCTACTGTATTACAAAGGGATCAGAATAAAATTTAGACATCTTAAACTTTTTATGCTTGATTTCTGGGACTAAAGTATTGGGAAATTTTATTTAAAATTGTTTTAAAATAATTTTTAAGAATTAATACAATTATTATAAAAACAATATTTGTTTAAGTTGGTTTTATAGCTCATCCATATTTGGTGTTATACTAACTCTCATGATTTTTGTGTTATCTTTAAAATTTAGGATGGTTTTCTTGAGAAGCTGAATTCCACAGAATTCATAACACTTTCCAGATTAATGGAAACATTCATTTTAGAAACTGAACAGATCTGTGGAAGAAAAAGCATGTCATTACTTGGAGCACTTCAGAGCCAAGCTAATAAATTTGTAAACAGGTTTCATGAAGAGAGAAAAACCAAGCTCAGGTATTATCACCATGTCCATTCTGTTCTTCATTTTTTTCCCCTTTTCTTTACAAAACACAATTATATTTAAAAGAGGAAACTTCATTAATTGGCCAGTTAAAACCCCTGACAGATTTTTTTCTTTTTAATTAAAGACAGATTGTGGAATTAAAATCACATTTCTTAGCTTTTGAAAGTGTAGTTAGAATGTTTAGTTCCATTAAAGTACTTACCAGGAAGATCCTAATAGATTGACTTTTCCTTTCCCACTCAAAGTGAAGTTAATTATGTTTTACCACTCTTCCTGACTAGGCTAAGAGACATAAAAAGAGAAACATTTTCTGAAACTATTCATACTGTTTATGAATGATTTCAGTTTATTAAGGTGTTCAGCACTTTTTAAAGTCTTACGTACTAACAGGTAATGGCCATTATTATTTAAAAACTCAATGCCTTGTATTGCATGGGCTCTACTTGAATTTAACTAAGATACATGTAGTCTTAAATATATAACAAAAGTCTTATGTACTCGCTCAGCTCTTCCTTTTCTTTTCACCCAAGGAGATGGTGTTGAAATATTATTAAAGTTTATCTTCCTTTCTTTTTACTTTTGAATAGCCTCCTCTTAGACAATGAACGCTGGAAGCAAGCTGATGTTCCTGCAGAATTTCAGGATCTTGTTGATTCTATAGCAGATGGAAAGATTGCTTTACCTGAAAAAAAATCAGGGGGTATGTGTACTCTTTCACACACTCTCTTTCAATTTTATATTGTTTGTTCATTTTGTAGGAGTGCTTAGTATTTCTTTAATTGATAGTGCCTCTTGGGAAGCTTAGAACTAACACTCCCAGCTTAGTAAGTAGTTGATTGGAAAAGTATGTGGTAATTTTTAATAATAATTTCAGATATTTATTGAGTATTAACCATAGCCAGACACTGGACCAAGTGCTTTACATGCGTTACTCCAGTTTACCCTCACAACAACCTATAATAAAGATACTATTGTTACCTTGTTTAATAGTGAGGAGGCATGAGGCTTCCAGGGGTTAAGGAATTTGGTACAAATAAAGATCTGGGATTTGAAACCAACTTTATATAATTTCATAGCTATGTTCTTAACCACTGTACTGTATTGTTTAGAGACATGTATTCTTTTATTGGACACTAGTATGCTTCTACTATGTGTCAAATGTTGAGACATAGGTAAGAGGTATAATTTTACTTTAAAAGGTCTAAGTCTGATGAAAGATATATTTCTTATCAATCACAAGTAATGTAGTAGTGATATGATAGAGAAAACCAAAATATAAAGAACTGTAGAATAAGAAAACTATGAAGGAGACTACAAAGGAAGGGCAGACAGATAGGACAATCCAGAAAAACACAGAAGTTAAAAAATTAGAGTTTCAAGAAGAAAATTTTCATTTGTATCAAATGTCAATTGGGTCTCTTATGAAAGACATGCAGTGGCTAGAGATATTTTTGTATATCGGTTAAAGTGGAGTTGTCATGGGTTAATAATATAAACTTGGGCTTCCCTGGTGGCGCAGTGGTTGAGAGTCCGCCTGCTGATGCAGAGGACATGTGTTCGTGCCCCGGTCCGGGAAGATCCCACATGCCGCGGAGCGGCTGGGCCCATGAGCCATGGCCGCTGAGCCTGTGTGTCTAGAGCCTGTGCTCTGCAACAGGAGAGGCCACAACAGTGAGAGGCCCGCGTACTGCCAAAAATAAATAAATAAAATAATAATATAAACTTATGTACAACTCATCCTGTAATACCAGATTTGAAATTTTGAAGTTTTGAATAATTTTTAAAGTGTTTTTTGTTGTTGTTTTAAATAAATTTTTATTTATTTATTTATTTATTTTTGGCTGTGTTGGGTCTTCGTTGCTGAGCACGGGCTTTCTCTAGTTGCAGCAAGCGGGGGCTACTCTTCATTGTGGTGTGCAGGCATCTCATTGTGGTGGCTTCTCTTGTTGAAGAGCACTAGCTCTAGGCACGTGGGCTTCAGTAGTTGTGGCTCGCGGGCTCTAGAGAGCAGGCTTAGTAGCTGTGGCGCACGGGCTTAGTTGCTCCGCAGCATGTGGGATCTTCCTGGACTAGTGCTCCAACCCGTGTCCCCTGCAATGGCAAGTGGATTCTTAACCAATGTACCATCAGGGTAGTCCATATACCCTGCTTTTTTCTTTTTTTTTTTAACATCTTTATTGGGGTATAATTGCTTTACAATGGTGTGTTAGTTTCTGCTTTATAACAAAGTGAATCAGTTATACATATACATATGTTCCCATATGTCTTCCCTCTTGCGTCTCCCTCCCTCCCACTCTCCCTATCCCACCCCTCCAGGCTGTCACAAAGCACCGAGCTAATATCCCTGTGCCATGCGGCTGCTTCCCACTAGCTACCTACCTTACTATGTTAGTGTGTGCATGTCCATGACTCTCTCTCGCCCTGTCAAAGCTCACCCTTCCCCCTCCCCATATCCTCAAGTCCGTTCTCCAGTAGGTCTGCGTCTTTATTCCTGTCTTACTCCTAGGTTCTTCATGACATTTTTTTTTTTTCTTAAATTCCATATATATGTGTTAGCATACGGTATTTGTCTTTTTCCTTCAGACTTACTTCACTCTGTATGACAGACTCTAGGTCTATCCATCTCATTACAAATAGCTCAGTTTCGTTTCGTTTTAAGGCTGAGTAATATTCCATTGTATATATGTGCCACATCTTCTTTATCCATTCATCTGATGATGGACACTTAGGTTGTTTCCATCTCCGGGCTATTGTAAATAGAGCTGCAATGAACATTTTGGTACATGACTCTTTTTGAATTTTGGCTTTCTCAGGGTATATGCCCAGTAGTGGGATTGCTGGGTCATATGGTAATTCTATTTGTAGTTTTTTAAGGAACCTCCATACTGTTCTCCATAGTGGCTGAACCAATTCACATTCCCACCAGCAGTGCAAGAGTGTTCCCTTTTCTCCACACCCTCTCCAACATTTATTGTTTCTAGATTTTTTGATGATGGCCATTCTGACCGGTGTGAGATGATATCTCATTGTAGTTTTGATTTGCATTTCTGTAATGATGAATGATGTTGAGCATTCTTTCATGTGTTTGTTGGCATTCTGTATATCTTCTTTGGAGAAATGTCTATTTAGGTCTTCTGCCCATTTTTGGATTGGGTTGTTTGTTTTTTTGTTATTGAGCTGCATGAGCTGCTTGTAAATTTTGGAGATTAATCCTTTGTCAGTTGCTTCATTTGCAGATATTTTCTCCCATTCTGAGAGTTGTCTTTTGGTCTTCTTTATGCTTTCCTTTGCTGTGCAAAAGCTTTGAAGTTTCATTAGGTCCCATTTGTTTATTTTTGTTTTTATTTCCATTACTCTAGGAGGTGGGTCAGAAAGGATCTTGCTGTGATTTCTGTCATAGAGTGTTCTGCCTATGTTTTCCTCTAAGAGTTTGATAGTTTCTGGCCTTACATTTAGGTCTTTAATCCATTTTCAGCTTATTTTTGTGTATGGTGTTAAGCAGTGATCTAATCTCATACTTTTACATGTACCTGTCCAGTTTTCCCAGCACCATTTATTGAAGAGGCTGTCCTTTCTCCACTGTATATTCCTGCCACCTTTATCAAAGATAAGGTGTCCATATGTGCCTGGGTTTATCTCTGGGCTTTCTATCCTGTTCCATTGATCTATCTTTCTGTTTTTGTGCCAGTACCATACTGTCTTGATTACTGTAGCTTTGTAGTATAGTCTGAAGTCAGGGAGCCTGATTCCTCCAGCTCCTTTTTTCGTTCTCAAGATTGCTTTGGCTATTCGGGGTCTTTTGTGTTTCCATACAAATTGCGAAATTTTTTGACCTAGTTCTGTGAAAAATGCCAGTGGTAGTTTGATAGCGATTGCATTGAATCTGTAGATTGCTTTGGGTAGTAGAGTCATTTTCACAATGTTGATTCTTCCCATCCAAGAACATGGTATATCTCTCCATCTATTTGTATCATCTTTAATTTCTTTCATCAGTGTCTTATAATTTTCTGCATACAGGTCTTTTGTCTCCTTAGGTAGGTTTATTCCTAGATATTTTATTCTTTTTGTTGCAGTGGTAAATGGGAGTGTTTTCTTGATTTCACTTTCAGATTTTTCATCATTAGTATATAGGAATGCCAGAGATTTCTGTGCATTAATTTTGTATCCTGCAACTTTACCAAATTCATTGATTAGCTCTAGTAGTTTTCTGGTAGCATCTTTAGGATTCTCTATGTATAGTATCATGTCATCTGCAAACAGTGACAGCTTTACTTCTTCTTTTCCGATTTGGATTCCTTTCATTTCCTTTTCTTCTCTGATTGCTGTGGCTAAAACTTCCAAAACTATGTTGAATAAGAGTGGTGAGAGTGGGCAACCTTGTCTTGTTCCTGATCTTAGTGGAAATGCTTTCAGTTTTTCACCATTGAAGATGATGTTTGCTGTGGGCTTGTCATATATGGCCTTTATTATGTTGAGGAAAGTTCCCTCTATGCCTACTTTCTGCAGGGTTTTTAGCATAAATGGGTGTTGAATTTTGTCAAAAGCTTTCTCTGCATCTATTGAGATGATCATATGGTTTTTCTCCTTCAATTTGTTAATATGGTTTATCACATTGATAGATTTGCGTATATTGAAGAATCCTTGCATTCCTGGAATAAACCCCACTTGATCATGGTGTATGATCCTTTTAATGTGCTGTTGGATTCTGTTTGCTAGTATTTTGTTGAGGATTTTTGCATCTATGTTCATCAGTGATATTGGCCTGTAGTTTTCTTTCTTTGTGACATCCTTGTCTGGTTTTGGTATCAAGGTGATGGTGGCCTCGTAGAAGGAATTTGGGAGTGTTCCTCCCTCTGCTATATTTTGGAAGAGTTTGAGAAGGACAGGTTTTAGCTCTTCTCTAAACGTTTGATAGAATTCACCTGTGAAGCCACCTGGTCCTGGGCTTTTGTTTGTTGGAAGATTTTTAATCACAGTTTCAATTTCATTGCTTGTGATTGGTCTGTTCATATTTTCTATTTCTTCCTGATTCAGTCTTGGCAGGTTGTGCATTTCTAAGAATTTGTCCATTTCTTCGAGATTGTCCATTTTATTGGCATAGAGTTGCTTGTAGTAATTTCTCATGATCTTTTGTATTTCTGCAGTGTCAGTTGTTACTTCTCCTTTTTCATTTCTAATTCTATTGATTTGAGTCTTCTCCCTTTTTTTCTTGATGAGTCTGGCTAGTGGTTTATCTATTTTGTTTATCTTCTCAAAGAACCAGCTTTTAGTTTTATTGATCTTTGCTATCGTTTCCTTCATTTCTTTTTCATTTATTTTTGATCTGATTTTTATGATTTCTTTCCTTCTGCTAGCTTTGGGGTTTTTTTGTTCTTCTTTCTCTAATTGCTTGAGGTGCAAGGTTAGGTTGTTTATTCGAGATGTTTCCTGCTTCTTAAGGTGGGCTTGTATTGCTATAAACTTCCCCCTTAGAACTGCTTTTGCTGCATCCCATAGGTTTTGGGTCGTTGTGTCTCCATTGTCATTTGTTTCTAGGTATTTTTTTATTTCCTCTTTGATTTCTTCAGTGATCACTTCATTATTAAGTAGTGTATTGTTTAGCTTCCATGTGTTTGTATTTTTTACAGATCTTTTCCTGTAATTGATATCTAGTCTCATGGCGTTGTGGTCAGAAAAGATACTTGATACAATTTCAATTTT